GAGCAGAGGAGAGAAGAGCAGAGGAGAGAAGAGCAGAGGAGAGAAGAGAGAGAAGAGAGAGAAGAGAGGAGAAGAGAGGAGAAGAGAGGAGGAGTAAAGGAGGAGTAAAGGAGGAGTAAAGGAGGAGAGAGGAGAAGAGAGGAGAGAGGAGGAGAGCGGAGGAGAGAGGAGGAGAGAGGGGGAAAGGGTCAGCGAGTCAGCCTCTTTGCGAATCTTGAACATATTATGCACCTGAGTGGCCTCAGTGGCTGATTTACTTAATCATCAGGCCGATATTCAAAAGCCGTGCTCAGCTCAGATGGTGACACGCATCAGGCTCTCGGTAAGGAATGAGGGTGCGAGTCATTTATTTAACATCTTTCTTTGATTCGACATGTTCGTGGTGTGTAGCCCCCGAAGGCCCCAAGCAATGATGACAACAAAATGATCGAAACAATTTTCAATGCCAAACAGCAGCGTGAAATTCAGTCAACGAGTGAGGGGTGTGGCCGTTGATGCTGTCTGCGATTGTCCGAGATTGTGTGGAGAGCAGCCAAGGGCCACCCCAGCGCCACGGTTAACAACCGGTATGAGAGCTTGAGCCTGAGTTGATGAAGGGGCGTACCACTTGTGCCAAACAGCACCTCCCACCCTGATGCTTACTTCTTGGTTATGGACTGAGACCCGGCCTGGTAGCACAATCGCTCAGCGGAGTTCCAGTCATTTTTATACGTTAGGTTTAGGTCATATTAAGTCATTCAAGTGGGCCAGTGTGGGAACGTTTGGGCCAAGGAGAAGTTGGCCCTGGATCGTTTGAGAGCCACGCCAGGGGCCCAACTGCCTAGGCTTTGAGAGGATGCTATCATCACCTTCCTAAACGAATGAACGGAGCGCAGGTTTAGGAAGAGTCTAGAGTGTGTTTCCGCGAGTCTGGCTCATGCCTGGCTGGTAATGTCTGCTGGTCTTTTCTGGTAGTCTCACCCCTTGACTTGGGTCAGGCCATTTGCAGTGGTTGCGGCAGAGCCCATGCCCGAATCAACGCTGCGGAGCAGCTTCACGCTAAAGGACTGCTGCTTGAACAGCTTGAATGGTCTAAGGAGCTTGAGTCGGCCTTTGATGTGCAGTTAGCAGTTCCGAGAAGCGCCATAACGGGCACATATGTTTTGACGGCTCTTTGTAGGCCGTTGTTCTATGTTTCATACGGGTTCAGACTCGTTTGAGCCGACTTCGGTGCCTCATGTCTTTTCGCACTCCTAGGAGCTTCAATTCAGAGGAAAGCTTGGCGCCCAGATTGAGGGCGTGGAGGGGGTGGTGACGAGCCGCACTAGCTAGAGACCAGTTCATCTAAGTGCAGTCTTGGGAGAATCGGGTGCGCGCAGGCGGGCCACGAAGAGACAGGGGGATTCAGGGAGGGGAGTCATGAAGATGCGGCCAGCACAAATGCAAACGGTGCAGGCAAACACATAGAGTAGTGCCGTATGCAGATACAGATCGGGACAATTGTGATGGCATTGGCGGTTGCACAGAATCGGCAGCATTCATGCAAGGGACCGGACTTGTGTCCACAGGCTCAGCACCTGTACAGGCTTCATTCCCAAAGGCTCGCGACTAGCTGGGGGCGCCATGGCAAAGGTAGATTGGGAGACTTCAGAAAGTGATGAGTTCAGGATCATCCAGAGTATGGAGAGGATATTGGAACAGCACCAGCAGGAGCTTGGCTGAGCATACTCAGATGGTCATTGTTTCTGGTTTAAAGCCATAGCTTGTCCCCGCTTTCGCTGGAGCAGTAGTGTCGACATGACAATCCAACAAGTTCTGACTATCCACTTGCAAATTCTATATCAACCAAGTGTATGACTCCCTCATATAACACCCGGCAGACCTACAAAAAGAACAGCGAACACACACACAGTATGAATTGGATGAGCGAGCCCGGCCCCTCCATCAAGTGAGGACAGACGAACGAAGGCACGAACGAACCACTACGGCCCCTCCATCAAGGGGCCGGGCGTTGTTGTTTTGCGAGGGAAAATGGGCACAGCCGAAAGCAGGACACATGCGGAATGAATACATTGAATACCTCTTCGGTCAGCCTGGTCAGTCGAAGGGGGCGGGTTTGGCCTTTTTGGCCTCGCTTCGGCAGGGGAATGGAGGACCATATTGATGATAAAACATCAATCAGTTGGTCGGGGTAGTTGTGCTAAGCGAAAGGCGTTCAACATGTGGATGGCACTTCGCAGAAGTAAGTCCTCCGAGTCCTGCTTGGGCGTGTTTCCTGCTTGATGGACTTGTGGGATTGAGGTGAGAAGATCTCGCTGAAGGGTCAGTAGCTGTAGAATCCTTGGCCTTGCGCAGTAGACCTGTTGCTGCTAGCTCGTTGACGAAGCTACCCACAGGTGAGGCAACTGAATCAGGTCAATGTTCTTGAACACATCGTCAGCCTCATGTGCATAGTTGCGACAAGCTGATCGGGACACTCTCACAAGGGCCCTAATGAATCTGACTTTGCAGGTGACTCCCTGACACCAGGCATATCCAGGCATGTTGTTTCTATTTGTCAGCGGATGAAGGCACAGCTAGGGAGAGATAGACCAGAGATAGATAGATAGATAGATAGATAGGCCGCTTGATCTTTTTTGCCACAGGAGCTTTTGGTCAAGTTGGAGACCTGGGCCGACAGGGTCGCAGCACCCTCTGCCCCTCGGTTCTTGGTCTCCAAGAGGAGCGGGCAGTCGAAGCTTTGCGACGAAGCTTTGCCAGAGCCGAGCCTGATGCATCACAAGAACAAAAGCTATGACGAGGCCAGGTTAACCCATGTCCAGGTGGTTGAAGCTACCCAAGGGCTTGGGAAGTTCAATGAGGATGAGCGAGATGCTATCAAGGACACCAGTCTTTGGCAGAGCCTGCGCCAATGGTCACGAGAGTTGATGGGGTCAATGCCGGCAAGCCTTTTCTTCGCAGGGTTGATCCTTGGAGGTCCCAAACATCGAGAGAGAGAGAGAGAATGTGGAAGGCTCATCTTGTCAGCGCAGATTTTCCCGTATTTTCCATGTAAAGTTCACAGCTAAGTGGGGGAGACAGGACTTGGGTTGACGCTTGAAGAGCGGCTGAGAAAAATGTCTTGCTGAGGATTGTCACGAACAGCATTTTTCTTGGAGTCCAGTTGGAGATGCAGGCAGCGTCTGAGAACATTTTCGTTGAAGACACGTTCTTTTTGGTCCCTCGGCCCAGAAACCGATCTGTTTGTTATTTGTCCCCTGTGCCACGACAAAGTATGGCTTTTGAGGGACATGTCTTAGCATTTAATTGTCATGTTCTATTGTTTGTGCCAGGCCGTTCATTGCCCACCACAAAGGAGTAGGTCACGTCATCAAAAAACCAGGTTTACCTGTTGCCTGTTGACAATTGTCGGGTTGACTCGAGCAGAGAGGCTTTGAATGTGGTCTATGCCGTGCTATTCACCATGGAAGTCATGCTGAGGCTTTTAGGCAGCGGGTGCAGTATGTTTATTTGGTCATCCCATGACTGGGCCTGGAATTGTTTGGACTTGTTTGTGGTTGTGTCTTCCTGGGTGGAGCTTCTTCTGCACAGTCTTGAAGGGAATTCATCCATCAGCGGAAACCGCAACCTTCGTATGCTCCGGCTCCTTCGCTTCGGCCGATTGGTGCGTGTGGTTCGGGTGGTGCGAGTGGCCCGCCTCTTCCGATCCCTGCGAACGTTGATCAACTCCCTAGTAGGGACCTTGAAGTCGTTGTTTTGGTCCCTCTTGCTCCTGGCGCTCATTATGCAGTTGTGCTTAACGAGAGTCAGTTGTGGGCACATTTTTTGAACCTTTTTGACCTGTTTTGTGTGCGGGAGTGGTGAGGGGTGCCCACACAGCAAAGCAATAGGCTTGAACTGCCAAAGAGACCTTTTTTACTTGAAAGTTCTGCTGTGTATAGCACCCTTTCCATCAAGGCCTTAAAGGTGAACATGCTTCATTTGCTATTGTACTTTTGGCTCAAGATGAAAAGAAGGCCGCACTTCTCGAGGGTTGGTGCGTCTTGTTGTGTTGCTTTTTGGGGTTGGTTGTTGTCACTTCAAGTGGATATTAGCCGTAGGGTTCTGATTGTGGGTGGTTCCCCTTTTGCAACTGGAACTTCCTCAATCTCCTCAACTGCTTCGCCCCGCTGATACACCTCTCGATTCTGGTTTCTCCAAGGGTCAAGGGTGCAAGACGGGTCGCGGATGCGAGGGCTCGGGAGGGCGTGAGTACAAGTGCGGCTGGAGCCCGGTGTGCCAACTTCAGGAACGCGACTGAGCGGACGCGCTTTGGGTAAGCGCAGTCTCTCGAATGCCCAGGTTCCCAAAATTTAGAGGTGTTCAGGTGACGGGAGTGACCACCAGTGTGGTATACCGGCACGGACTCTTCCGGGACGTCCCAGTCAGCTGCGGCGTTCCAAATGTAGGCTTCACGCCTTCTTTTCACAGCCTGTCCTCCACGGATGCTGCGATGACGATCGAAGCGTTCCTCAGGCTCGTCACGAGGATCGCGGTCGTCCAGGTGCATTTGCTGAGAGTCTGAGAGCTCAGCCAGTGTTGAGCCTGCTGAGGGGTTAGCCTTGGTCGAGACTGTTGAGAGTTCAGCCCCGGTTGCATCAGGTGACAATTGTTTCTGCTGAGGGTTCAGCTGCAGTTGTTGATGGTTCAGCCACAGTTGATTCTGCTGAGGGTTCGGCCCAGAGAGTTCTGCCTCAAGGCCAGGCGATCCAATTGCAAAAGCAAGGCTTGCATCAGCGCTCAGGACATTTTCCGCCAAGCCAACATCGGTTGCAGTTGCGGGTGCGTATCATCCAGGGCACTTAAAGGCCAGCAGTTGTTCTCAAGCCAGCATCCCAGTGGTTTTTCGCCCAGCAAATCCAGCAGTGGCTATTCGACCGGCAGTTGATGTCGCCCCAGCAAGGTTTGCTCACCTTCCCAACCGCCTCCACCATCCAGCCGTTGTCGCAAAAGTTCCTCCATTTTTGCCATCAGGTGCACCAGTGCTGCTCCCGCCGTTCCAGCCCAGGGAGGTTCGTCTGCAAAGCACTTGCCATCACCAAATCCAGAGGTGATTGTTGTGGAGGACGAGATCGTCATTGAAGAACGAGTTAGAGTTTTTAACGCGGACCCGTCTTGCATTGTTCCACCCCGGTTTTCAGGCGTACAAATTTTATTGAAAACAGATTGCGAAGGGTCCAGCTCAACAACATCCCACGGCTTGGTCAGCACGTCTTCGCCTTCGACTTCCATCAAGTTTTGGACGTCGACAGGGAATCGAGGTACCGCAAGACCTCACAGTGAGACTGGATTGCCACCTAGGCATATAAGGACCATCGGGGAGCTCCACGATTTGTCCAGCCGGTTCGGTGGCATTGTTGACCTTGTGGAGTGTTCCCACATTGAGAGGTCTGAGGTCAACTTGCGGAACTTGCTTACGCAGGTTGAGCAGTCGGAGCTGAAGGTCAAGTATGTCATTCTGACTGACCGTGGTTGTGGTGAGGGAGGAAAGCGTCCTTCGTTGCGCGCATTGACCAGTGGAAGTGTTGCTCATTTGTGACGACAACATTGAGATCACCAGAGAGTTCTGGGCAAGTGGATCTGTTGGCTTCCAGATTAGAAAGCCTGGTGCCGCGGGTGTTTTGTGGCTCCGAGTTGCCAACCTGATGCTCTGCTTACAAAACGCATTTGCCCTCCAAGGTGGAGACGCTCAAAAATGCGTTGGCTTTGCGGCCCCCGCAAACTTGCGAAATGAGCAAGGGGACGCCGAGATGAGAATGACGCCTGCATGGTGGGGGACACTCACGGAGCCTCCACCTGCGCGAGGGGACACTCATGGAGCCCCCGCCTGCGTCACGGAGCCCCCACCTGCGTGGTGGGGGGGGACTGATGGAGCGGGGCCACTCACCATGGAGCTTCCATGCATATATATATATATGATAGTTTTCAGTAATAATGCAATAAATATATAGTCTTTTTGAGCGCGCTGAGGAATCTCAAGAGGGCCCTGAAGAGGGCTCTCAGTCCGCTGGTAGAGCCGGAATCACCAAACAAGCTTTGGCTGGAACCTTGAGTGGCGAGTGGAGCCTGCGGTGGAACACAAGCGACGCAGGAGTCGAGAGAAAGAAGCACGCAAGACGAGAGATCGGTCCTGCAGACGTCGATCGCGAGAAGAGCGGGGACGCTCGCGTCGTCGCCGTGCGCTGTCTGCGGTGAAAGAGCGCAGCAGCGGCGGGAAAAGACAACGGAAAGAGCGGAGGGGTCGCGTCGTCCGGCCGAACCGGATGGGGCGCCCCGCCGTCCGCGTGAACCGGGTGGACCGCCGCGCGTCACATCCGAGTTTTAACTAGCTCTTCCTCGCAATGTAAAGGCTGCACCAACATTGAAAATGATGAAGAAGAACCGGGTTGATTGTTGCCCTCTAATGGTATTTGGGCCGTGTTCAACCCATACCTGCTTGCGTAACACTGACCATGTTGGATGTGAGCACAGGTGTGTGACTTACTTGAATAGGCAGACATCGAACCAATGGGTTTTAGTCTATTTCCTTCTTGCAGAGGTTTGGGAAGGTCCCAATATTTTTGTAAATTTAAATGCGTGGCCACGCGACATGGCTTGAGAACTTGGCGAGGTGATCTTTTTTGATTTTCACACAGAGGCATCTTGTCGACGATCAATCTAACAGCAAAAACAGCAACATCAAAGGTCAGTGTCATGGCATATGACATATCTATAAAAATCTTTCGATACATATTTTCTCTTTTTTCATATATTGAGCTTGTGAATGCATACAATTGAGGATATGTACCCAGTAGCGGCGGAACCCATTTATGTGGAGTCGAGACGTTGTGAACGAAATGTTTGGGAGACGGAGATGTTTCACAAGGCGAACCTTGCCACCCTTCTTCGTGGCAATACGTTGTGTGATGGATGGTGTGAAGAAAAGCCTGGCAGGAGGTAGAGTTACGGTGATCCATGCAGTCAGGCGCGTCAGGCCCGGCGGTCCGTCAGTCCCGTCAGGGCGGGCGCAGGCCGTTGGTCCTGTTGGGCCCGTCAAGCTGGGACTTGACCCACTAACGACAGCTGTTCTCAGCCACCTTTGACGGGCACTCATGATGCTCCTCTTGAAGGGAAGTATACTAGGAGCTAGGAACTCAGCCTTTTCACCTGACCCTTGTGCAAATTGATGCTTAGTGCTCGCTTTCCACATGTGAACAACAGCCAGGTTCCGGTCGTGCCATGTGCGCCTCGTGTGAACCACGAGCATCACCAACATGTTGTGAAAGGCACGCCGTGCGTTCCCATTGGTGTCATGATTTTTGACAGCGGTCTCAAGGATTTTTTCACACCTGCATTCACGCACAAATTGCTTGACAGGGAAGAGTGGGAAGGTCGTCCAGAAGTCTTCGAAGCAATTGGCAACGAAAAGAACGGTCTGTTGCTCGAGGGTACATGGTTGGAAGAAGAGATTCGCTCGAAAGCCGATGTGATCAAGGAGTTTCCAAATGAGACGTTGTATTTTGGAGCGCTCATGGTATAATCGTAAGCGTAAAAGGGTTTGAGAAAGGTCCTTCTGAATGGAAGGTCCAAAGCTCGAGTTGTTTTCAGGGGTGACGCAGTAGGGGATCAGGGGGGACTAAAGTGCCATCTTCCCAGACCGGTGAGTTCTGGCGTACGGAAAGCGAATACGTCAACCTTGGTCCTCCAACTGAGTTCGGTGGGGTATTGGGTAGGAACCACCGTCTTGTGTGGGTGGATGGCAAAGAAGCCCTCGCTTTAGAACCAGCGGACTTTGCCAAGCAGAGTGTCCAACTCTACAGCGAATTTGCGAATAAGCCAATCAAGAGTTATGCGCCTCCTTGTTTGGGCTGAAGGCTCGCTCATTGCATCCGATGATGAACCCCGTGGACAACTTGCACCTCATGCCGCTAAGCTGGCGTTGCGTAGGAATTCCTGGCCTGACGTTCATCATTGACCTTCTTGCAAAGCATATCACCACATGGTCTGTTAACGACGACCGGAGAACTGCTCGCTTGATAGGTTACCTGCAGCTCACTCATGAGTATGCGCCCATGATGTCAATTCAGGACCCTCCCGAAACGCTAAGCGTTGCATTATCCTGTGGCGCAGATTTTGCAGGAGACGTTCAAACCATGAGGTCCATGTCAGGCTCTGAGTGGTCCTTCAAGCTTCGCCTTCCTAAGCTGGGGAAGTAAAAAGACAGAGTGTTGCGTCACGGTCCACGACTGAATCTGAATTCGTGTCCCTGTCATCATCGTTGTTTTCTGAAGCACTCCCATAACTCTTCATGTTTGGCAGATGTTGATTCCATCAATCAGGTTAGCAATTTTTTGATGACAACTCCGCTGCGACTGCCATAACTCTGCTAAGCTTTGTCACCTTGCAAAGACGCACAGGGTGAATGCTGCGTCAACCTGTGAAGTGGTCAACAGCTCAGAATACAACGACATTGGTCACATAGATACTGGCCTGCTGCTTTTGAAACTGTTGCAGTATGCCACGAAGCCCCTGCCTTCGTTTAGGCCAAGTAAGGATCTAGTCGTCTAAGATGCCTCATCGATGAGAACTTGCAGAACTTAAGCTTAGCCTTTAGGACTGCTCGAATTTCTCGAATGAAAGGATATCCATATGCATGCAAGCCAGGGTATGTTTGGCTGCGTCAGCGCCTCTGCCTGACGTTCGTTCGCGTTGAGAATTTAAATCGTCGGGTCACAGATGGTTCACAAAGAGCCAGTTGTCTCCTAACCTGGAAATCTAAGCTGCTGTGTATAGCACCCCTTTCATAAAGGCCGTAAAGGTGAACATGCTTCATTTGCTACTGTACTTTTGGCTCAAGATGATAAGAAGGCCGCACTGCTTGAAGGTTGGCGCGTTTTGTTGTGTTGCTTTTTGGGGCTGGTTGTTGCCGCTTCAAAGTTTTTGGACTGGAGGGGTGCTTCGGGCTACGGCCTTGAGGCCTTTTGAGGCTTTGGGGCCCGGTGCCAGTTGGCCCCATGTGGAGTTGAAACCACACCGGCCCCTCTTTTTGTTTTTCGAGGTATATGTTCGGCATAATGTTCACGGACGCAGTTTTGGATCATCGGAACTCTCTTGGCTTCACTGACGCTGGAAGCGACTTGTCCCTGCGTTTTGGAAGTCTGTACTTATCCATCGAGACGCTCTTCCGTGCCATCTCAAATGGCTTGACCTGGGGGGAGGCAGCTGATGCCTTAGCAAGAGTCTCGTTTGATTTCATTTTTCAATATTTTTCGTGTCTATTTTTGTGTGTTTGTGTTTGTTTGGAAATGCTTGCGCATTTCTTTTACAACCTCGAGGGCCCAAGGCCTATCAATAGGGGTTATCGACTCCAAAGTGGAAAGAAGAACAAGTGTCAGTGACGCAATCGGAGGAATGGACCACGGCATGTTCTGGTGTTCGCTCTTCCACTTCTACGTGGCATTTTGCAGTGTCTTGGCTCGGGTATGACCCTGCCCAACAACTCTTGAGACAAAACATTCTTGATAGAACGCGAATCCCTGCACCCAGACATCCAGAACAGTGTTTGCTGCCTCCCAGAAACGGATCCATACTGAAGGGAAATAGGCCAAGTATGAGCAACGATGGGTACTTGTAGCATTGTAGCCCCTGAACAGTTCATGGAAGCAGCTCTCGTCAACGGAGGGCGCAAAACTCTTGTGTTCTTCAATATCCGTGGTACTTTCGCGGGCACCAAACATTTTTGCCAGCATCGTTTGCGCGATCGCTGGGAGGTTTTGCGGTGTTGAATGTGATGACAGGACCGACATGGTGGGTTCGCTGGATGGTGTTCCATGTCCAGACGTCTGACCTTAGTATCCTTAGTCGTAGTATCAATCGGAGCCCCTGGACAGGAACCTTTTGCAATGCTGCCATCAAAGCTGCAGAGCGTGACCATGACATGCTGGTCCTTTCATTGGTGCAAACGCGGCAAGAGCTGCGAGACTCGGTGACGATTCCGTGCCCTCCGAACCCGGTGCCCCCGTATTGGAAGCACAGACTTAAGACCCCAGGTAGAGGCAGGGCTAGCTTTGAGTGACCCATGCTGTTCTCAGCCCTTGATTGCGGCACGGGGTGCAACGTAAAAGAACTTGGGACTACAGGACTACAAAGTCAGCAGGGCTCATTGCTAATGAATGTTTGTGACAAAATCTCACCATTTGGCGTGTTCCGACTTGGCTAAGGGGAGCAAGTGGCGACCCTCTTCCACAAGATTGACCAGCGTGGAGTTGGACAGGCTGACAACGCAGACATGAGACCGCGCGGGCTCGCGGCTGTATATAGTTATACCAGCGTAGACCCCAAACAGTTTCAAAACGATTCGTTTAGACCAATATTAGTCAAAAAAAGCTTTCTTGGTACGCCCTACCTTCACCCCAAGAGCAAACTGTTTCATCAGTGACTTTTTGTCGGCGTTGACATCGCTATTTGTTCGGTCACACTCCTCTCCAGTAAACCGGGCCACAGAGACGAGCCACGGAGTTCAGGGGCGGGGCCAAGACAAGGACAAGAGGAGGACAAGACCCGGACACAGAGCCCAGCCACAGAGGAGGAGGACAAGAAGAGGACAAGGCCCAGCCACAGAGGACAAGAGGAGGACAAGGCTTGGACACAGAGCCCAGCCACAGAGGACAAGAGGAGGACAAGGCCTGGACACAGAGCCCAGGCACAGAGGACACAGAACAGAGGTGAGGACAAGAGGACAAGGCCTGGACACAGAGCCGAGCCACAGAGCCCAGCCACAGAGTTCAGGGGCGCGGCGAGTGAGTGTGGCCAGCTCTTTTTACAAAGATAGAACCCCAACAGTAAACTGTTTAGGGAAGAATGTTCTAGGATTATACCAGCATAGACCCCAAGCAGCTTCAAAACGATTCGTTTAGACCAATGTTAGTCAAAAAATGCTTTCTTGGTACACCCGACCTTCACCCCAAGAGCAAATTGCTTCATCAATGAATTTTTGTCGGCGTTGACCGGCCACACTCCTCTCCAGAAAGCCGGGCCGCAGAGACGAGCCACAGAGTTCAGGGGCGCTGTCAAGACAAGGACAAGACCCGGACAAGAAGAGGACACGAGGAGGACAAGGCCCAGACCCCAGCCACACAGAGGACAAGAGGAGGACAAGGCCTTGGCACAGAGCCCAGGTAGAGAGCCCGCCCACAAAGGACAAGAGGAGGACAAGGCCTGGACACAGAGCCCAGCCACAGAGGACACAGAACAAGAGCCCAGCCACAGAGGACAAGAGGAGGACAAGGCAGAGCCCAGCCACAGAGTTCAGGGGCGCGGCCAATGAATTTGGCCAGCTCTTTGTTTCTAAGATAGAACCCCAACAGTAAACTGTATGGGGAAGAATATTCTAGGATTACACCAGCATAGACCCCAAGCAGCTTCAAAACGATTCTTTTAGACCAATGTTAGTCCAAAAAAGCTTTCTTACCTTCACCCCAAGAGCAAACTGTTTCATCAATGAATTTTTGTCGGCGTTGACATCGCAATTTGTTCGGCCACACTCCTCTCCACTAAACCGGGCCACAGAAACAAGCCACAGAGTTGAGGGGCACGGCCAAGACAAGGACAAGAGGAGGACAAGACCCGGGCACACAGCCCAGCCAGAGGAGGAGGACAAGAAGAGCCCAGCCACAGAGGACAAGAGGAGGACAAGGCCTGGACACAGCCCAGCCACAGAGGACAAGAGGAGGACAAGGGCACAGAGCCCAGCCACAGAGGACAAGCGGAGGACAAGGCCTGGACACGAGCCCAGCCACAGAGGGCAAGAGGAGGACAAGGCCTGGACACGCAGCCCAGCCACGGAGGACAAGAGGAGGACAAGGCCCGGGCACAGAGCCCAGCCACAGAGGACAAGAGGAGGACAAGGCCTGGACACAGAGCCCAGCCACAGAGCCCAGCCACAGAGTTCAGGGGCGCAGCCAGTGAGTGTGGCCAGCTCTTTTTCCTAAGATAGAACCCCAACAGTACACTGCTTGGGGAAAAATGGCTAAAGCCCTTGAAGCATCAAAAGCACACACACACACACACTTGATGCTGCATGAAGAACAGCTTCTACTGCAGGTGACCATCGATGATTTTGAACAGCACTTCAGTGACGACGTGGTGATTGCTTTCTTTGAATCCTTGGAGATTGGTGCCATGGATGCATGGACCCTGTTCTTGAGCTTGGATGTCGATGGTGACCACACGATTAGCGTCGATGAATTTACCGCAACTTGGACGAACTCGTTGATGACCGTAGTGATACACACGAAACCCCTCAAATTAACGGTTGGGATAGGCTTACTTGTTCTTTCCATAGAAAAAGTTGAGCAGTTCGTCAAGAATGCTATAGCACCATTGGCCTTTTTCCGTCATTTTTTTTGAGCTTGTGGTGGAAGATTGAGAGCAAGTTGCTGTTGGCGCACAAGAACCCTTAAGAATACCCCCAACTCACCGACGTCCGCGAGACCAACGCAGCCTGGCCAGACGGCCCATGCCGGAACCTCGCAAGACGGATCACATCCAAGGAGAGATGCCTGCAGCTGCATGGTCCAGCAAGATCTGCTGATATATTTGCACTACGTCAGAACACTGCCACTTGGTTTCACGCCAGATGATTTCTGTTGAGAGGGGGCTATTTCTTCTAGTAGGTGTTTTTCATTTTTTGTGTTTGCTGCTCTGGTGGTTCCCGGTTTCTGGTTTTCCGATGTCTGCGACGCATAAGCATAAGATGGTTGGTTGGGGGCGGAGCCTCGGCTGTACACGCGGAATTTGCCTCGCCTGTACACGCGCATAGATTACCTCGGTTGTGCGCGCGCTACTCGGATTTGCACGCGGCTTGCTCGGCTGTGCACGCGGCTTGCTTGGCTGAATGAACGAATGAATGAATGAGTGAAGGAAGGAAGGAAGGAATGAATGAATGAATGAATGAGTGGATGAATGAGGGACTGAAGGAATATGTGAAAATGAATGAATGAACGAATGAATGAATGAAATGAACTGAAGTGAAATGAAATGAATGTCCAGAGGGACGTTATTAACACCCCCCCCACCACTCCATCCCAACCCAACATCATCAATCAAACGCAGAGCATCTGTGTGACGTGGTACTGTGGAAGCAATGAGCAAAAAGAGATCATCATGTAGATTGTGTGTGCGCAGGTGAGGCGAATCTTGTGTGCGCAGCTGAGTTTGAGGTAGCATGGGGTGTTTAAAGAAGAATGTAATCGATGTGTGCGCAGCTGAGGCGAATCCTGTGTGCGCAGGTGAATTAAATATATAAAAAAACCTGTGTGCGCAGGTGAGGCGAATTTTGTGTGCGCAGGTGAGGCGCCATCCGTTGGTTGGCTTAGGGGGCCCCCTCCAGGTTTTTTTCACCAAAGCTTCACCGACCAAGCAAAGCCTGAACCAGCAGCCAAGCTAGCCAAATCACATCAAAGCCGGAACAAAACCCTGTCTACCCTGATGGACGAAGAGCCTCAGCGAAGAAATCGCTGAACATGCAGTACAGCGAGGGAGAGAGAGAGAGAGAGAGGGAGGGAGGGAGGGAGGGTGTGTTTGTTTCGACATGTTTATATACTGTTCCGTGTTCCTAATGCTCCGCGCCCCTAATCTTGGCCGAGGACAAGCTGGCGGACTATTTGATCAAGGTTGAAGGTCGACAGCTGCAACTCCACCAGCGCTTCAACGAGCTCCTGCGCACCATGAGCAGTGTCGGGTATCTCACAGAACCTGTGAAGGAGGCAGAGCTATAACTGTAACATACTGTAACTGTAGTCGGAGCCCGAGCGAAAGAGTTTGTGTTTTTTCTCACGTGTAAATCTTCAAATCCGTCGACGTGGCCAACAGTGCCCTTCGCAGAACCTTGCGATCCAACTTCGGCGAACATCCCTGGTGCACCATGAGGTGCCAACGATGGAGGGAGAAAACTCGTTTCACACCGCTTTAACGTTTTGGGTGCGTGGGTGCGCAACCCCCGCCAGTTTACCTGCAAAGCAGGTCATCCAATTCCGAAGTTGCGAGCATGCGGACACAAAAACAGTGGATTTAGCATGAAAGAGCTGGCCACATGTTGGCTTTTTGTCCAAGGTGTGGTTTGCTGTCTCCCAGTTCTTGTGGACACTTGCAGTGAACTGCAAAGCTGCAAACAACCCTGTCAGGGCAAAACGTCACTCAGCAGTAGAACCATTCAGCACATCATATGGTCTGCGTAATATCACTTTCGACGTCACATGGTCTGCGGCGTTACCCCGCCTCAACAGGGCCCGGCATTCATACCTCAGGCCAAATGCCAAGCCAGAAGCACATGCACCCTGATGGATGCAGGCCATTGCCTTAGCTGACGGCAGAAGGCTTCACTCAACATGTCCGAATGGCTGAGAGTGATAGGCAACATGTCCGTGATTTGGTCGCTTTACTTATATACTGGCTCATTGTTGTGTGTGACCTGGATGAGGACCAGCTCAGGAATACAGCAAGCATACTATTCAAGAAGATATGTAGAAGTTTCTTTGTAGCATGTCAGTGAAACGCACCCCCAAGGGTTTCCCAGAGGTCTCAACTCTTCCGGGGTTTGCTCAGAGCCTGGTTGCTATTGATAGGCCTGGAACCAACAAATCGCGTGATGGCATCGTTCGTCGAAGATCAAAGATCTAAGCTCCAAGGAAACCAAACAGCACTCTGCTTCGCATGGACACCGCAATGAACCAATCCAACAGTGCCATCATCAAAAAGGAATCCCAGCTCATCTCTCCATGCCTTGAACAGTTTCTTGAAGACACGAAGATCCGCAGCAACAGTTTGCTGAAGGAACGGGTTTCCATTATGGTTGTGACAAACATTGGCGATCGATCTCCCTAAATGGAGTCGAAAAGCAAAGCACATTTCAAGGCGTGAAATCCATGTTTTCGGTGGCAGTCCCTTCGATGTCAAGAACCCAGTCAAGCGAAAGGGGGAAAAAAGAGCAACTTCCCCTCTCGAAAAACTCAATGTCTGTGGATGTCTGTGGTTTATCATTTGCAACCACAGAACGGCATCGTCCAGTTTGTTCTGAGATAACCGCAGGGCAACCACTAACTCTTGCTGGTGGTACCCTTTGCCGGCGTGCCCTCGGGCAGGCAGGACGCTTAAAGCAGCTTTGAAAGCAGACGCCAGCAGTTGATTGATCGCAAAAGTGTGGAGAAGCAGTTCATCGTAGCTTTGCTGTTCAACTTGGAGCAGAGCGATTGACTACACTTACTGTACACCACGAGTATACAGCCTGTTCGTACTTCCAGGCTTGGTTTGCTCCGGGAGTTGCGTGTGCTCGTCAGGGTTTTGGCAAGGCACGCTCTGCAAGCCCGCGCGTGCAGTCAAGTTTTGCAATCATGTTTTGTAACTTGTATAGCTCAGGCCTTGTAGTAACAGGCCTTCGGAGCCACTGAAAGATGGCGCTGGGGGGCGCTGCGTTTGATTGAGTGCCACGCGCGCCACAGCATCCGGATCAAGCATCAGTGGTTTTCAGTCTCAGTAGATTTTCAATCAAAGTGTAGGGGGTGGCATGGAAGAAGATGCCACAAGGCAGCTGTTGCAGAACCGCCGAATGGAGATGATGGCCTACTTGGAGGATTTCAAGTTTGCTTTTTCCACGGTAGAAACACAATACCATATATAGCCTGACACTGCTGTTGGCTTGATTGCATGATTTGTACAAGCAGAGTTTGCTCACTTTGCTGCACTTTCCACACACACATATATATATATATATGTATATATATATATATATTTGGCTCAGGCTCATGACTTGTCCAAGCATCATCTTTCTATCTCGACTATCCCTTTCCCTTGAACTCTCACGAATCATTCCTAGTGGTTGGGGACTTGTCCTCGAGCGGTGCTGTAGCTATTTTTACATGGTTGCGAAGCGGAATATCACGGATTTACGCGACAGGGTTTGTAGTTTGTAGCATATATTTCGAAGCGGATTTCAGCCACTTCACACCAAAAGAGTTCAACGTCTCTGCCGACAGAGAGAGAGAGAGATCAACAGATTGACTAACCCATTTTGGGTGCAGGATTGGATGTGGCGCCTTGAAGAGTCCTTGATGGCGGACCCACGAAGTCTGAACGAAAGACTTGTTGCCACAACGTCATTGGCAGTCACTACGGGTCCCAGTTCCCTCAAAGATTCATATGATCGGGCTGATGAGACGCCAGTCCCTGCAAGCAATGCAGAGGAGATCCAAGACCCAGAACGGTCCAGGTCCTATCAGGAAGCAAATCGCTTTGGGAGGATGGATAGCTACGCGCTGGCCGAGATCGCTGATCGAAATGTCACCGACGCCTTTGATCGTATCGTCAACCAAGCCTTCCGAGGTAGCGGCGGCCTGTCGGCCCGGCCAAGGTGCCAGAAAGTGCAGCAGAAGGTGGCCATGATCATGGACTCTGGTGCGGCCAACACATTCTTCACCCTTCTCATCCTCACCAACTCCATCTATTTGGGGGTGCACTTGGAAATCACCGCTCAGAATTTCGAATTGTCCCAGAACCCAGTCTTCTTTCAGATCCACTTGATCTACGCAATCATGTTTACCATTGAGGCATCTTGGCATGATGCATTTTAGCTTGTAAGACTCCAGGGTTGCCAGCTGCAAGATTCAAGAGCAGGGCCCCCCCAAAAAGAATGTCCAGGACAACTTATCTAACCTTTTCTGGTGAGTGCGGTGGCTTCTACGCTACTTTCTGGGAGTGCAGAAACTTCAGTTCCCGTTGTTGTCACGTTGACATACTTTTGGTCTTGAATTGCAGTCCTATCATTGCAAAGGCCCTGCTGCGGATGGTTGGTGCCGGCACTTTCTTCCGATACATTTGGGGGCCTAACTGGCATTGGAATATCTTGGACTTGTTTGTGGTGATCTCCTCATGGGTGGAGATGGCTGTGGAATTTGCCAGTGGAGAGGCAAGGAGCACTAATACGAATCTTCGGATTGTCAGGGTTTTGCGCGCCTGGGAATTCTGCTTAGCAGGATGTTTCACTGACGGACTTTTTGGTCGGTTGATCGATCCTCTTCATTGGCTTGCACTGACAGGTGGTTACGCGACATCCGGTTGAACATACTTGAAACTAAAGGTGCTGAAGGACTATTTCACAAACATTTGCACACCGTTACCCGACACAATAGCCGTAGCTTTTTCTACTTCTTGGGAGTCCAAGTGATCATCAGGCTCATTTCCGCCGAGGCATTGGCCGTCTGGCGCGCGTTTTGCGCATCGTCCGTGTGGTGCGTCTCTTCCGGGCCTTACGGACTTTGGTGGCATCTTTGATGGGCACCTGGGCGCAAGAACCTGGATGGCCTATCTTCACATTTTCGATTGTGGCCAAGTATTTGTGGGGCGACATCCTTGTACCAAGTATATATCTGCTAACCTCAAGACACCAAAAAGACTATTAGATTTTGTTGTTTTTCCCGAATGCGTAGCGAAGGGTTCCCGTTTATAGTTGGGGGTCTGGGGGTTGGAGCTGTGTTTGCATGGCTTGCGTCGTGTCGTCGTCTCTCATCGTCTCTCGTCGTCTCTCGTCGTCTGTCGTCGTTTGTCGTCGTTTGTCGTCGTCGTCGTCGCGTCTCAAATTTGCTGCCATTGGGGGAAGCTTTTGCAAGTGACTTTTCATGGATGTGTCACGTGTCAGTTTGCGCCGCTATTCCTTTGTGATTTGCATGACACCGACATGTCGCGCAAGAAACGTGATGCATTTCGCTGCACAGGCGCAGCGTTTTGTGGGATCCGCAGATTGCTGCACAGTTCCATTGGGATTAGCGTTTGGAGAGTCGTGCTTTTGGGGTGTTGGATGTGGCCGTGCCATTGGGATTTGCGTTTCAGGGTGTGGCATCGAAGCTCGGTTTTCGTGACAAGTCTCAGCTGAAATGGCGATTTTGGTGGATGGGAGTGTGCTCTGAACGGGTCGAAATCATTCCAAACGTGTGGTGTGGTGCAAATTTTGTTGAAGCTCACACGCGATGATATTGTGACTTTTCGTGGCAGGCGCAGGGCTTCGTGCGGGTTTTGACGCGTGGAAGTGCGATTCTCGTGGCAGGCACAGGGAATCGTGAGGTTGCGAGGTGTGAGGGAGGTGACATTTCGTGGCAGGCGCAGTACTTTGTGCGCGTTAGACGTGTGGATGGGGAAAGATTCGTGGCAGGCGCAGGGAATCGTGAGGTTGTGAGTTGTGGTAGAGGTGAATGTCGCTGTCACATTGGGATTGGCGTGTGAGCGGATGTTGTTTGGAGGGGCTGGAATCGCGAAACTGCTTGGCAGGGCTGCGTGATGTGTGTGCTCCGATGGGTGTTTCCGCTTGACTTTTGGAGGAAGTCTCGTACGAAACGCTCTTTTTGCAGACTTTGACGTGTGAGTTTTTGAGGAAGTCTCGTACGAAACGCTCGTTTTGGAGACTTGACGCACAACCCTCTGCGGAGATCGCGCGTGTCGAGTGTGCGAAATGCAGGCGAGAGTGCGATTTGTCCCATGCGCGCGCAACCCT